TCTTCTTCTTCTTCTTCTTCTTCTTCTTCTTCTTCTTCTTCTTCTTCTTCTTCTTCTTCTTCTTCTTCTTCTTCTCCTTCTCCTCCTTCTTCTTCTTCCTTCTTCTTCTTCTCCTTCTCCTTCTTTCTCCTTCTTCTCCTTCTCCTTCTCCTCCTCCTCCCTTCTTTTCTTCTTCTTTATAACACAAAAAGCAGGGATGACAAGTACTCCAAGTCAGACTCCTCTCCAAGCAGACCCACTATCTGTATCCACAGGAGCACAGAAATAACAAGAATCCAGCAGCTTCCCTGCTGCTCTCACCACTGCCCTGTTTATCAGCCAGCCCCAGGCCCATCATCTGTGGGACTCTAAAATTTTCCACCCTCTTGACCAGTGCCCCCTCCCCTACCTAAATGCCCCATATCAACCATGAGCACCCTCCTCTCAGTGCCAGCAGCCTTCTTGCCATTGGCCCATCTGCATGCAGATGGCAATAAACTCAGTGTACGTTGCCTAGACTTTGACTGCCTAAGTGCTCTCAGTTGTGCCACGGTCTGATCTTACATTTTTCATATTGATGAATTGGATGAAATGACCAAAAGGCAATAAAAAAGTTTATTTAAAAAGTAAAAGTGAAGAGTGAGGGAGAAATTGACTTTGCAGAATGAGTTTAGCCCAAATAGAAGAGGAAAAGTTAAGATCAAAGAACACCCTGGAGAAGGGACTTGAGGTGGGGGGATAGGATAAAAAAAGAGGCAGCATAGGCTATCATGAGGAATGCAATGACAGCAAGACCTTCTTAATGTCTGTGTCCTTTTTTTTTGAAACAAGATCTCACTGTGTAGTTCAGGGTGGCCTTGGACTCACTATGTAGCCCAAGCTGGCCTCAAACTCACAGTGATTCTCCTGTCTCAGCTTCCTGAGTGTGTCCTTTTATGCTGTCTAAATCTCAAGAAAACCCACGAGAACTTCTATATACAGGTCTTAAGAGGCAGTGCTGGGATTCCACACCTCAGGCTAATGTCAGGTCTAGGCCATCCTGTTGAAAACCTGCTGGAGCTCTTGCAAGTCCATGTACAGGGATTTGAGAGTGGTTCTGCACATGTATTCTGAGATCTTGCAATTAATGGGTCACACCTACTTCCCCAGCCAGCTTTGCCATGCCCTAATCTACTATGTCAAAATGATTAACAGGATGCTGAGTTACCTAGGGAAAAGAGTACATATGCATCTTCCAGATTTCACTCTGTTTTAATCACATGCATGCTATAAAGTTCCCATGTATGAACCTTTAATGAAGTTTGAATGGGGAAAAGGTTACTGAACATTATACTGTGGGATCTGAATGTTATACTGTGCTCTGGCTTGTAGCTAGAAATCTTATAGATTCCCTGGGTCTTTGTTATTTCCATTTCTGCTACTCTTAGGACTATGTAAGGAGGATTTGCCCCGAGCTGTTGCTCAAATTCAGGTGGATGGAGGAGAAGTGGACCAACAGCCCAAGAGATGCTACCTGTATTAATAGGATAAGTAATATTCTGACAATTCATTAATCTTGGGGAAAAATATGAACCTATTCCTATTACTTTTTCTTATTCACTGAAGAGATAGATAGAATGGATATTCTTCTGTACTACAGTTATTATGGTTGGGTATGTGGCAAAAATATCCTTTACAAGATCTTTGTACAAATAACATCAAGTTACATAAAACCATGGTAGAAAATCATTAGGGAAAAAAGTAGTGAAGTATAATAAAATGAAAAATTATAAGAGATTAGATTCTTACAATACATATGTTTGAGAAATAACTCAAATACTAAATGAAAATAAGAAAGTTTTCTCAATAAATAAAGGACACAAAAGGGAAGAATGTGTAAACTATTTGAGTGGTAACTTTATCAAAAATAATGATGAGCTAACAAATACATGAAAAAAGTATAAACATAATATCAGAAAAATGGACAATAAAAGGACAAGGAGGTACTAGAATATACTTACCAGTGATACTACAATTTAAGACTGACAATACCAAACATGATACAATTTTATTGGAATTATGTAAACTGCTTGTAGGAATACTAAATGCTGTATATTACTAAGTTATTTTGGAAAACTTGACACGATGTATAAAGTTAGATCACTATTTCTCAAAACCCAGCAATTAACTTTTAAGTATCTACTCAACAGAAAATTAAACATGCTAGCTAAAACCAGGAAATAACCAAATATCTCTTAATGTTCAAATTAAAATATAAAATACCACACACCACAAATGACTATTGCATGCAATAATATGAATGACTCAAATAGTGAAAGCTTATAAACATTCTGTTGAGAAAAACAAATAGACCTAATATATACTTAGAATTTTTTTATATAATGTTCAAATTAGCAAAAATAAATTCTTAGTAGGATATAGCTATCTTTTAGTGAATAGCCTTAAAGAGAGGCAAATAGAGGGCTTGTACATGGTACTGTAACAATCTATTTTTAAATCTGGGTGATGATTACATGTATGTGACACAGTTTTGAAAATTCATTATGTTATAAACTTATTTGTAATTTTTTGTGTATATGAGTGTAAATAAAAAAGAAGAAAATATAATAGATTGTCATTTAGCTCTCTGTGGTGGTCAATTAAATTTCAATCATGATTAAAATGACATGACATTTTTGTGTCCTTTTGACTGACACTTAAAGTACTATAGTTGGAGATCATGTAGATCAGTGAGATATCTTAATCTTTTTGTAGATTATAAAAGCCACAAACCACATCAGAATAATCATATTATTTTACAAAATTGAATCAAGCCAGGCATTGTGGAGCGTGACTGTAATCTTTGCACTTGGGAGGCTGAGGTAGGAGGATCCCTGAGTTTGAGGTCAGCCTAGATTATATAGTGTAACAGCAAGGACAGCACATGAAAGAAACAAGTGGCCCTCAGAGAGATGGAGGTTAACCAAGGTTTATTACATTAGTGAGCTTGGAGGAGTTTGTGACTCCAAAGTCTGACCCTTGAGCAGGGCCTATGTAGTTCCTTTTATATCATTGTAAGAGGGGCAAATAAATGAAGTTATAGAAGCAGACAAAGACAATTATTCAAGCAGTGACAGTTTGCAATTTAGCACATCTGGGTGTTCTTGGTCAGGTGAAGAAAAACAAGCTCTCATAAAAACAGAATGTGATAAACCCATTATCTATAGGAGCAGAGTTGTCAGGACAAAGAACAGCAGCCACAGGGAGGGGGAAGATTAAAGGGGAGATTGACAGAGAGTATTAGTTATGACCTTTAGGGTTTTATTTAACACTCGGGACTTAGCTTTTGTTTTAAAATTTTGTCTTCCTCATCAATGGAAAGACACTGTCTTTAAAAAAAAAGATCAAATCCTATGAAATTCAGAAATTTAACCTCAACTATATTATAATGTACCCATTTAAAAAGAACTATAATAGCAGCACTGTTTATGAAAATAAAATTCTAGGAAAAATACGCATTAACAGGAGGGGGATTAGTCACAACACTTTGGAATTTGGAAGTAAAATCGAGGAAACTATTGAAGGCAGAATTTTTTTTTTAATTTTGTACCGGGATCAAACTCAAGATCTTGCACTTGTGAGGCAGGTGGCAGCACCACTGAGCTAAATCCCCAGCCCAGGCAGAATTATTTTTTAAGTTTTACCTTATTTGCCCTTATTAACAGTGGGATTGAGTTATTTAAAGAGCAATGCACTTGATCTTATGCCACTAATGTAACCATTCATATTGATGGGAAAATCATAGCTTTTGCATTATTTTACATGCTAATCTCAATTGATCACTTGTTTCTTCACAATCCCAGAATATTAGATAGCATTAGTTTTCCATATTGACTTTTGCTTGACTTCTAAACAGAAGTTATTTACTATTTGCCCCTTTAATTGAGTAAGTTTTTATATATTTGGCTTGCATTCAGAAAAAGTGTTTGGTGTTCACCTTTTACCAATCTTTACAGTAACTTCATTTCATTAGGAACAGTAAAAAAGTACCAGTTGTTTATTTGAGATTTTAATTTTTACTTTTGTTAATACATGTTTTCAGTACATAAGATCATAGTCCTTGTGGTGAGTTGGTACATGTACATAATATATCTTAATTCTTTTTTATCCCCTTCCCTCCATCTCTTGTTCTCCTTCCCTTTGCAAAATATTTATCTGCTTATTTCCTCCCAATGAACTTTTATTTGGCTCTTTATTTGTATTTTTCATTTCAAGAAATCATTATAGAATAGTTTGGTGATTTTTATCTGGGTCTTAAAAATCAAATGTCTACACAGTAGTTTATGGTATATTGATATGATTAATCTTATCTACAACTCTCAGATAGTTTGAGAGCATTCAAGGGAGAATTCAAGAAAATATTTGAAGCTGGCCATGGTGGCACAAGCTTGTAATCTCAGTGCTTGGGAAGCTGAGGCAGGAGGATCACCACAAGTTTGAGTCCAGCTGGGGCTATATAAGTAGTTCAAGGCCAGCCAGAACTACAGAGACTTTGTTGAGAGAAGAAAGAAAGAAAGAAAGAAAGAAAGAAAGAAAGAAAGAAAATGAAAGAAAGAAAAGAAAGAATTTGAGGTTGCCTTAATCTCTTTTTTGATACTACATGTATTTTAAGTTCTTAATTAATTTATAGTCTATAATATTTCAAATGTCATATTTGGGGAGAATTTCTTAATTTCAATAATTTGAAATTTGTGTTAATGAGAATGTTTTCCTTTAAGAAAGAATATTATATGAGATTTACCTATACAGTAATACATGTACACATGTATATTTTAGGCTTTTCAAAGTAAAGTAAAATATACCTTGGTAATGTAACATCTGTGGAGAGGCATACATC